TGCTTCTAATACCCACTTTTGTTAGAATTCCAGGAAGTTCATCTTTCATTTAAAAAGGAAGCAAACTCGCTCTGCAACTCGCTCTGTGCAGGCTTACCCTTGAAGCTGATCTGGGAATTACAACTGGTGCCGAATGCAGCGGCACGCCTACTGACATCAACACCTGTGTGGGCTCACGTTAGGCATATGCTCCGCCAACTTCATTGGTTGCCAGTTGAGTACTGGATTCACTTCAAGGTGCTGGTTTTTACCTTTAAAGCCTTAAACAGCCTGGGACCAATATATCTAAGGGACCACCTCTTCCCATATATGCCTCGAAGAGCGTTATGCTCTAAAGATCATTACCTCCTGGTGGTCCCTGACCCAAAGGATGCCCATCTTGCCTCAACCAGGGCCAGGGCTTTTTCTGCCCTGGCCCCAGCCTGGTGGAACATGCTCCCTACTGAGACCAGGGCCCTGCAGGATCTTCCTCAATTCTGCAGGGCCTGCAAGACGGAGCTGTTCCGTCAGGCCTTTGGCTGAGGCAACGGGCACTCATATATGGCCTCCCTGAGGTTGCTGTCACCCGTCAATTTACTGACCACTGACAACTGGCCTTTAACTCACTGCACCATCAGGCCAGAACTTTATAGCCAACTGACGCTGTTACAAGCTGTACCCATTGCTTTAATTATTATAATGTTTTATCATGTTTTAAACGGAAATTGTATTTATTATAATGATGTTACCCGCCCTGAGCCCACTCGTGGGATGGGTGGGATATAAGTGCAAATCTCTCCCTTATAATAAAGCAGTAGTGGGGACCAGCGTTCTAAAATGCCCGCCTTTAGTGTTTGGCCAGAAGAACTGCCACTCAGAAGACACTGGCTGGGTTGACTGGCTGCTTTGTGCAGTCCCGCCCAGCGTTCCAAGGTCTTTTGCATATGGAAGCTGATTGGACTTCACTCCATTCCACCCCTCAAACTCCCCCCCCCCCGGCAAGGCAGTTAATTTTCAGTTGCATATGGGAACTACTGTATTCTGAGGTAACATATGTCCTAACTCACAACACATCACTTCCCCTTTAAAAGAAACAAACCCAATAACACAATCACGCCACACCACAAAGAAGACAGATCACACCACAAGCAGAATACCTCAAGGCAAAAAATGATAGGAAAAGGTGCCAGCAGTCACCCCATTACTGCCACAGATGGTGTGCAGGTCCCAGGTTCATGTTTTAAAAGCTGCCTGGGGGACTATGGACCATTCACACACTTTCAACCTTAACATACCTCATAGGGTAGTTGTGCGGATCATACGGGGGAGAGGAGAATGATGTCAGCTGCTTTGGTTCCCACTGCAGGGAAAGACTGCCCTTTCCCTAGGCAGAGGCTGTGGGGGGGGGATGTAAAACTTAAGACAGACAGGCAGATAAAGGTTGGCTGATGGTTGCCTGGAAAGGACATAGGGTCATTTAGTCCAACCTCCTGCACAATGCAGGAAATTCACAAATACCTCCCCCCACACCCCAGTGACCCCCCATTCCATGCCCAGAAGATGGCAAAAAAAAACACCAACCCTCCAAGATCCCCAGACAAACTGGTCTGGAGAAAAATTGCTTCCTGACCCCAAAGTGGCCCTGGGCATGTAAGAAAGGGCCACAAGAACTAAGCACTGAGGCAACACTTCCTGCCCTCCCTCTCATGATCTGCCTAAGTTCACAGAATCAGCATTGCTGTCAGATGGCCATCTAGCCTCTGTTCGAAAACCTCAAAAGAAGGAGAGCCCACCACATCCCAAGGAAGCCTGTTCCACTGAGGGACCACTCTGTCAGAAAGTTCTTCCTAATGTTTAGCCAAAAACTCTTGATTTAATTTCAACCAGTTGGCTTTGGTCCAACCTTCTGGGGCAATGGGTTCCATAGGCTAATTGTGCCATGTGTGAAGAAGTACTTCCTCTAACTATTTAAGATAAATGTGCTACCAAAAACTTTGGGTACATTTTCATGTCCTCCACGTTACTTATTTTATAAATGCTTTAAAGTAGACTGTCACCAGTATACCTATGACACCCAACATTTATATGTTATCATTTAAGACTCCAGAGGCAGCTATGAAGGTTTTGAGGCAGTGATCAAGATGCTGAGGGTAAACAAACTGAAGCTTGATCCAGACAAGATGGGAGTGATACTGGTTGGGAAGCCAGGATTGTTGGCTGGTGTTGATCTACCAGATTTAGGTTGGGTAAAACTCTTTTTAATAGACCAAGTTAAGATTGGGGGTGGACGCAGCCTTTCTGACGGATACACAGGTCAGTGCTATTGCTAGGAGTACCACTAGCTTGTAAGATGGCCCCTTAATGACTCGAGTTGACCTCCTTATGCCACTGTAACCTCCAGAAGGGACTTCTGTAATGTACTGTATGTGGGGCTGCCTTTGAGGACATCTCAGAAGCTTCGGTTAATACAAAATGTGGAGCAAGATGCTTGTCTGGGATCAGCCTCTTGGAACACATAACTCCAGGTGGTGCATCAACTCTGGTTCCCTGTTTACTTCTGGGCCCAGTTCAAGTACTGGTGGTTACTTTTGACGCCCTTCATGGCTTAGGACTCCCATGTCTCCCAGTATACTCTTATGCTATATTCTTCACACAGAATACTCCTTATGTTGCCTTCCCTTAGGATAGTCCATATGGTTATAGGTAGGTCACATGCTTTTTCCATGGTGAGCTCAGTCCTACCAGAGTGTGTGTGGAGGGGCTTTCGTTAGATACATTAGGAAGGCATGTAAAACAGTTTTATTTGAGAGATGACTTGGTGGAGGGTGAACCGTTTCAGCAGATTTGGTTGGCTTCTTTTCAATTCTGTAAACTTCAAATTTGTAACTTTAAAAAATTATATGCGTTTCTAATGTGTAATTTTTAATCTTGTTAATTGGAACATTATATTTTGTGTCCTTGCAACCTGATTTTTCATCTAGCCACCTTGAGTCTGAGGAGATAAACCAGGATGTAAATGCTTAGATAAATCCCTGCCTACATCAATTTTCTTAAACTATGAATCCCTAACTGCTTATGCCTTTACCTCATAATAACCTTCCCCCTTCATCATTTTAACTGTTTGTTTTTATTTTTATTTATTTATTGCTTTGCCCAGCTTTCATAGATGAGATGTCAAAACATAGGCAGGAAATTGTAAATGTTGAATATATTGCAGACAAATATTGGCATTAGATAATCATGATATATTACGATTATAAATACAACACTCAGTAGTAAGGTCAGTTCCTGGTTGACACTGGAAATCCAAACACTCAGAGTTGTTAATGTATATAAAGTGGAAACCATATATAGCCCTTGGTTTGATTTTATGTGTTGTACTTTCCTGACTGTCACTGGAAATTCCCCTTCCTCAAAGCTGGGATTGTTGACGTACATGGAGGGGCGAAGTCCCATAACCTGAAAATTCAGTGTTGAGAGTTTTGTCTTTGTTTGTGAGGTTGGCTTCATGCTTTGCTTGAAAAGGCTTCAAAATGTCCCATTTTCAGACTCTCCCAGCCAATTTTGGTACCTTAGTGAATGAGTCACTGAGGCCAGCCCCCTTTGTATCTGTATTAGTATATGAAGACTGTGTTCTGCATCCATGTACAATCCTAGCCACTACTGGAAATCCTTCCAAAGCTGATTCAGGCATGTAAAAGAGCAGCAGAACTCTCAAGTCCATTCCATGTGTGGTTTTGCTTCTTGTGTTCTTAGGGTTACCAGCCTCCAAGTGGTGCCTGGAGATCTTGACGGATTACATCTGATCTCCAGGCAACAGAGCTCAGTTCCCCTGGAGAAAATGGCTGCTTTGGAGGGTGGACTCTGTGGCATTATACCCCACTGAGGTCCCTCCCCAAACCGCACCCTCCCCAGAATCCATCCCAAAAACCTCCAGGTATTTTCCAACCCAGAGCTGGCAATTCTGTGTGTGTGAGGGGATTAGATAGATTCATGGAGGATAGGTCTATCAATGGTAGGGTTGTCAGATCCCCTCGTTGCTCCAGTGGAGGGATTTGGGGGGCATTCCAAGGGTGGGCAGGGACATTGTGCAACGTCCTCGATGCAGTGAAGTCACCCAGAAGAGACATCATCACGTTGGGAACCCTCTGGTATTTGTGTGAAACTCTATGGGGTTTTTGCCCTCAAACCATGGAGTTTGCCCAAATACCAGAACATCGCCACATGATGTCCCTGTTTAGGGATGGAGTTTCCCTCAACAGCTAGCTGGTTCACAGTGGGGAGAAGCCCCTGAAACCAGGGGATCCCCCACCCAGACCTGGGGGCTGGCAAGCCTAATCAATGGCTACTAGCCATGGTGACGGAGGCGAACTTCTACATTCAGAGGCAGTAAACATCTAAATCCCAGAGCCAAAAGGCAACATCAGGGTAAGGTCTTGGCTTCTGTGCCCTGCTGTTGGCTGTCCAGAGGAGCTGGTTGGCCACTGTGTGAGACATGATGCTGGGCTAGATGGACCACTGCTCTGCTCCAGCAGGGCTCTTCTTATGCTCTTATGTTGGTAGACTAAAGGACTGGCTCGTTATAAGGCAACTCTATGTGTGTATGTATTCATTTCATCCTGCAATGTCATGAGGAAATACCCTAATAATTTTGAGTCAGTGAAGTTAAAGTATCTTCATGATGAAATGATATTGCTAAATGTTGAATTATCGATTGACAATGAATGAAGCCAACCTTATGGTTATTTCAGTGGAGTTCTATGCTGAAGCGATGGTTTTAGCCCTCTGCTGGATGGGAACAATAAATACACACTCTTCCAACTTTCACAGCACACTTATTAAATCATGTACGCTTTCCTCAGCATACGGAAAAACCAAATATCAAAAGCTATTTAAAAAAGCAAAACTGTTTGATAAATCTCAATAAGAAATGCTGCCAAAATGTAATGTTTGGGTTATAATTTTTTTTAAGTGATTGCAGTGTTAGGAGTTGACCAGTGAAAGATCTCTTTTTCTTTTAGTTTTCTAGACAAGATCGACATAGTCAAGCAAAATGAATACACACCATCTGACCAGGTGAATAAAAATGTCTTTTAAGAAAATGAGGTGGCACTTAACTCTTCATAGGTTTCGCTTTCCTGTGGTGGTCTTCTTTATACAGTTTATGTTTTGTTTGTTTATTTGTTTAAAACATTTTTTTTTAATTTGAAACATTTATTAGCTACTTTCCCCCCATACATTGCTTTAAGGCAGCTTGATAGAATACATGAAATAAAATACATAAAATCCATTTTAAAAAACAAAATTTAAAACCAGAGTTTAGGACTGTATTTTTATAGCAACTTACTGAAAAATGCAAATCTACCCAATGGAGGCTTGTGTATGTAAGTGAGGTACGTTTTGTGTGTCTATTTCCCTCTTCTCTCAGACACACAATCACAGAACACGTACCTCAGACACACAACCTGTTTCTTGATTGACATTTCAGCAGCGCTGCTTCCTCGTCTCACTGCTGAAACCTTACACCAAGCGCACGCCTTAGTCCTCCGTTCCTGTGTTGTCTTCAGGCCATGCACTGTTTTAAAACAAGAGGCCTCCTCTAAACTGATCTTGCTGTATTTTTTTTAATCTTTTTTTTTTTTAGGATCTTCTTAGATGCAGAGTTCTGACATCAGGAATATTTGAAACCAAGTTTCAGGTCGACAAAGTAAACTTTCAGTGAGTATCCCTGATAAGTGGTCCTTCATGTTCAGACTGAGGTTAAAGTGAACAGGGGGTCAGAATGCATAACCATTGTAATCATGTGGTGTTTTGCACTTAACCACGTGGAAGTAAAATAGGGTTGCTGTTCATCAGCTGTTTTGGATAGAGCCAGGAGAGAGAGGCTGGTATGTGGTGAGGTTTTTTACTGTTTCCGATTTTATGTTACTTGCAGTGTTCCCTCTAAGCTGAGTTAGTGTGCGCTAGCTCACAGTTTTTTAGCCTCTGGTTCACACATTTTTGTCTTAGCTCAGGAAGGAGGGCTTCAGAGCAAACTAATTTATGCCGTAACCAAACCACTCGCTCACAAATTTAATGCCAGCAGCTCACAAAGTAGAATTTTTGCTCACAAGACTCCACAGCTTAGAGGGAGCATTGGTTACTTGTGTATTGGGAGTACCTTTCAAGTTTGTTCTGTAAGATTTTAGGCTTTGTTGGAAAAAATTTTTGGTGGTTTTCCCAATCCAAAGAACTTTGTTTTACTTTTAAAAAAAACCAGTCAGGAGAATTGACTGGTGCCGATACATCAGTCATATCAATAACTGTTAGTTTTTATTAGTTTGATTTTGTTAGGTTGGAATTAATTATCAGACAAAAGCAAAATCTCTGGCTTTCATAACAGTCCACACTTCTTTTCACAGTTCATAAAATTTTCCATAGTTTTTCAGTTTTGTAATCCTAGTCCTATTGCATTGCTTATTGCCTTGGCGGGGAGGGCGGGGTATAACTCGAACAAATAAATAAATATATTAGAACTTCATGCTATTTTATTACACTATTTTATACTAAAATCAGCCTTCAGTCTCAGTTTAAAAGACAGACTATGAATTAAAGAAATAAATGGAAGAGTATGTCTTGTCAAGGTTTTCCTATTAGTATCTGAGGCCTGTCAACCTTCATACTAGTAACTGAGGCCTGTGCGGCTTTTCCTAATTCTGATTGGGTTTTCTTTTCCAGTATGTTTGACGTTGGTGGGCAGCGAGACGAACGCCGAAAATGGATCCAGTGTTTTAACGGTAAGCTAGGAAAAGGCATTAAACTTGCAAGAATAAAATGACTGTTTTGTTTCCTAGTGTAGTTTGCATGTCCTGTCGGTGCATGAGATAAAATTGTTTCTGTGGTTCGAAGCCAGAGTTATCTGAGGTTTGTCTTCATAATCATATCTGTGATTAGACTTTGTTGTCGCCAAGGCTGTGACTGCCCCAGCAAACTGGTTTATTTCATTAGAGTTTATTGACAAAATTTGTATTCTGCTTTTCTGCCCTTACAAGGCCCACCATCATTGGCGTGTTGTTTTTCCCCCCATTTTTCTCCAGATGTGACTGCTATCATATTTGTGGTGGCCAGCAGTAGCTACAACATGGTTATACGAGAAGACAATCAGACCAACCGGCTTCAAGAAGCGTTAAACCTTTTCAAGAGTATCTGGAACAACAGGTCCATCCCTTTGAAAGTTGATCACTTGTGTCATTAATTAATAATGTAGCATAAGGTTGACTTAACCAAGAATATACAGTGCTAATGTGAAATAAAGTAGCTTATATATTAGGGAAACAGAGATTTACAAGTGGGGAAACTGCAAGGACTTGTGGTAGGCATCTCATTCCCCCTCTCCCGCTATTTTTTCTTTCCCTTTTCTGAAAGCCCCCATAACATCTCCCCTTTTCATGCTTCCTTTTCTCCTTCTCACCCGACAGCCAGCCTACATTTATCTGCCCCCTGTCTTCAGCTTTCCTTCTGCCCCCAGCAGCCTCTACCTAGGAAATCTATGGTGCCAACCACTGGGCCAGGCCCATTTGCATGGTAGGAAACCCTCAAGGAATTGGGGGGGGGGGGCGCTCACTTTCCCCTGTATCCACACCACACTATTTTCTCTCTCTGTCCTCCTGGCAGTCCCCATATCCTCCCCTGTCCCTTTTCCCTGACTCCTTCTTACCACCTCAGCCGTTCACAAACCTACCTTTTACCTGCCTTCCATCTTCAGCTATAGTTATTGTTTATTCACTTCATTTATACCCCAACTTTCTCCACAGTGGAGACCAAAGCAGCATACATTATTCTCCTCTCATTCTTTTTCTCCTCAGAACAACCCCGTAGGGTAGGTTAGGTTGAAAGTATGTGACTGGCCCCAAATCACCCAGTGATCCTCCACAGCAAGACGGGAATTTGAACCTGGGTCTCCCAAACCCTATTCTGAAGCTCAGACTTCTATACCCTGGCTTTCACAGGGGTGCTGTTGAACAGTAGTAATCTGGAAACAACAAGGTACTGTATATAGCAAAAATAAAGACCAAATAATAAATTAATCAGGGTCTGCTATGTTATTCTTAATCATGCATAAGATGAGAGAATCTTGCAACATGTAGAAAATCTTACAGACATATACAAAAGACAGGAACCTCGAGGAATACTACACCAAATGCAAATTGGGATGCTGGAAACGCTAATACAGTCTCTAGAATGTTTACCTTGGGAATTTATTGACGTATAGGTCGCCTCTTTGATTGAGCCTAAGTGAAACGGGAAAATTTGACAGCTGGCGAGCCCTGTGACTGGCTTCTTCTGGGATACTGGAGCTTCTGTGAAAGTATCACACAGCCTTAGGGCAATGTTAGAGAGTGTATTAGTGTTTCCAACATACCAGTTTGCATTTCATATAGCGTTCATCCAAGTTCCTGTCTTTTATATATGTTTGTAAGATTTTCTACATGTTGCAAGCAATGCTCCCTCTAAGCTGTGGAGTCTTGTGAGCAAAAATTCTACTTTGTGAGCTACTGGCATTAAAGTTGTGAGCAAGCGATTTGGCCACTGCATAAATTAGTTTGCTCTGAAGCCCTCCTTCCTGAGCTAAGGCAAAAATGTGTGAGCCGGAGGCTTAAAAAACTGTGAGCTAGCTCACACTAACTCAGCTTAAAGGGAACACTGGTTGCAAGAGTCTCTCATTTTATGCATGATAAAAGAATAGCATAGCAGACAATGATTAATTTATTGTTTGGTCTTTATTTTCACTATATACAGTACCTTGTTGTTTCTAGATTGTTCTACTGTATATCTCACTTTTTTGAGTCATCTTTTGTTGAACAATAGCAAGCACTTAGGCCTAGTTGAGTCATGCAGAGCGAGTGGTATCAAGTCACCTAGTGTTTGCTGCCTGGCCTTGGGTTGCCACTTCCAGGTTTAACCTGGAGATCTCCTGGAATTACAACAGAGATCTGTCTCCCTGGAGAAAATGGCTGCTTTGGAGGGTTGACTCTATGACATTATGTCTAGGTGAAGACCCTGACCTCCCCAGTCTCCACCCCAAAATCTCCAGGAATTTCCCAACTCGGACCTGGCAACCCTAAGCAGGCCTTGCCCTGATTATTCCTCCCTCAAAGGCCAAAACCGTTCCTGAAAGGACCCCACCCCTTACGCAGGCACTACTTATATCATTTGGGGTTTTTTTTCATTCTTCAACGTTTTGTTTTCTTCTTTTTTTAGATTTCACTTTTTTCCTGCAGATGTGGGTCATTTTTCTGGTTCATAAAAAGACTTGTCTTGCCTGTTCATAGTTTCCATCACTGGACTTAAGTATCCTCAAATTTTTCCAGCTTGACTTTTAGAATAGACTTGCAGGGGGAAATCCCATCTTCCCCCTCCATCGCCAAACCCAGTGCAGCTCGAGGCCTCACCACCCGCCTTTGCGCCCAGACACAGCAGCAGTGGTGTCTTGGAGCTGCTCCAAGCCCTAGTACAGGGGTGTCGAGCTCATTTATTATGAGGGCCAGATCTGACATAAATGAGACCTTGTTGGGCTGGGCCATATGTGTCATAAAATGTAATGCTAGGCAGCGGAGATATAAACTTTATAAAGGACACAAAGGGTTTTTTTTTACTTAAAATAAAAACATGCTTAAAACATTATGTTAGCCAAATTGCCTTGAATTATTAATTAGTCTAGGGGACGTTATGATTATTAATTTGGCAGTGGGCAAATTAGGGTTCACACCAATGTATACAGAAGTCCCACCTTTGCTGTAAACACCAGAACAGACACAGAGACTGTGTTCAGTAAAATATAATTTTTTTTACTGGGGAATATATATCATTCAAACAATACACAACCGCACACACATTTATGGAACTAAGGAAGCAGAGGTGATTGATAGTTTATAGAGGGGTTATACAACCTGGTCCAGATGTGCAGAGGTCCATGGATTGTGGCCTAAACTCAGAGAGCTTAGGGGTGGACTGCCATTTTGGATTACGGCAGAAAACACACGGGCTGAGGCCATGTTTACGCTGGGATATACCCTATGGAAGACAATGCAGACCAATGGCTGATCCTGGGGGCTGGTCTCAGTTGAGAACAATAGATTTCCTGGACCAATGATGAGTCCCAGGGGTGTGTGGCCTCAGGATGGGCAAGGCCTAGATGTGACCAATGAGCTTCCAGAGGGGCAGGGTCTGGATTTAACAATAGAAGCCAGGTGCTGGGTGGCTAGTTGAATGGATTATCTGACCACTAATGGTCCTGGCCAGGGTAAACAAAAGGTGGGAGACGTCCCTGATTAGCGTCAGGAAGGATCGTTAATAATTTGAATGTTTGATTGGTTTATCCCGGTATCTTGAGGGACAGAGTAGAAAAGACAAGTATTCAGACAAAGAATTAAATAGACTTTAGAAATGTAGATACTTTACCTGCTAGAACTCATTGTTATTCCATAAGCATAATCTCTGCTGGGTGGAGGGGGAAGACTGGAGGCTTGCTCTGAGGTTGCCTGTCACCTGAAAATGGAGACCCCTTTTTCAGAGCTGTGGCTATCTCTGTGTTTCAGAACCAAGAGTGCCTTCCTTGGCCTGAATTTTGTGAGTCTCTGGATCAGGTTAGAAGTGGGGTGCCCTTGCTATTGGAGCTACCCAAGAGTAAAAGGCAGCACCTCTGGCAACAATTAGCACTCTTGCAATATTTTGTTCATTTAACAATGTCTCATAAGTGACACCTCTTGCTCTGAATTATTGCATCAAAATGTCTGTGCTGTTGCAATCTTGAGTATGCTGTTTAGGTGTGTATCTGTAAGCTGCAAACCTACGATGATGCAGCAGCAGCAGAACTGGAAGAAGAAGCAGAAGACAGCCAGTTCCACTGTGGGGCTGATAGAAGCCCTCTGGGGGCCTAATCCAGCCCCCAGGCCACATGTTTGAGACTCCTGCCCTAGTGTATTTTTTAAAAAGTTTTTAGTCAGTGCGGCCCCAATCCACAGATTTAGATATCTGCAGATCTCCCCACAATTGGCTATCACATATATAAATGATACTAATGAGAAGTACTTGAAGCATGCAAGATGTTTAGTTTGGATACCTGGCATTCAGTGCACGAATGTTGTCTCCAGTCCAGACTACAGTGTTTATATCCCTTTCTTTACTTTGCCATGTGTCTAACAATATTTTGGCTTCTGTTTTCTTTAGGTGGCTACGGACCATTTCAGTAATTCTTTTCCTGAACAAACAGGATTTGCTAGCAGAGAAAGTTTTGGCAGGGAAATCTAAAATTGAAGACTACTTTCCAGAATTTGCTCGTTACACCACACCGGATGATGGTAGGAAGAGTGACATTTTACACACTTAGATTTAAAAAAAAACCACAACTGTATTATTAAAAACCACAACTGTATTATTCAGTTACCCAAGAGTCTATTGGGGAATGGAGAGATGGGGGTTAATATTCCATAAATAATGCTGCTAAGGTAGATAGCTTTGAGTTCAGATGACTAAATATGTTCAATAATTTTACTTTTTGATACTGAGGGGTAGTTTTACTTGTCTGCAGAATTTCTCTCCTCCTTCCTTGATACAGTTCCCTTTTGTCTACAGTCAGGCAGCTGACATTCTCATGAAGTGAAGACTTTGTCAAGTTAAAATAGTGCCACAGAGGCTTTGTATCAAGTATTCTCAAGACCTTATATTTTAGATGATTCTGTTGCATGATAAAAATTGTCACCAAACTTTTAACAGTCGTGCATAAAATTTAATAGCTGTAAGATTTTAATATGAAGTCCTGTTTTAACATAATTTTATTTTTGTTTTTAAATTGAGTAGCAACACCGGAACCTGGTGAGGATCCTAGAGTTACAAGGGCCAAGTATTTTATTAGAGATGAATTTCTTGTAAGTATGTTATGTTCAGTTCCGTATCATTACATTTTAGGTGGTGTTTGTATGTGTAATAATCAACTCAGGGACCAACCCAGATGTGTCCTAAAGCAACCATGCTTAAGGGATATTCCCCCCCCCTCCCTTTTAAGGATGAAAAGTAACCATGGAGGGCAGTTTTTCTGATCCCCACTCACACCCAGCTGCTGTTTCTCCACTGGGCACATTTGCTACTCTGTGTGATTAATTTGCATTAGTAAAATTAAGATGAGGGTGAGATTAAAAACAAATACTTAACATCAGTGCCTCAGTCCTGGACTGAACCTTTGCCTTTTTTCCGTAGCTGCTTTAAAAAAACCCCAACAACAACGCAAGAGCTATTATGTTGTTGATAACTAATATGGTGCTGGCCATTATGTATCCTGGTGCCCACTGATTTCCTCCCCAAAGCAAAGAGTCAGTCCTGGGGTTCCACCACCACATTGGAACAGGAGACGCTTTGGAACTGCTTTGCTCAAAGGACAGGAGAAAGGTGGGATCACACAAGTCAGCGGCTCATCTCTCAGCCTGGGGTGTGTTAAATCAGAACTGGGTGAAATGATGTCAGATGAATGCTCCATGCAGTGGTGGCAAACCTATGGCACGGGTGCCAGAGGTGGCACTCAGAGCCCTCTCAGTGGGCACGCTTACCATCGCCCCAGCCAGGCCCAGACCATCATTAAAGTGTCAAATTCTCTGCCAAATAATTTTAAGTAAATGAAAGCATTTGGGATTGCTTTCCTTACTATGTTTGGATCATCTTAAGTTAATGTATGAGTTGTTTTTTCTAAAGTAAAACCTCAGTATTCAGGTTAAATTGCCATGTTGGCACTTTGCTTTTTTAATATATATATAATTGTTTTTATTGATTTGGCACTTTGCGATAAATAAGTGGGTTTTGGGTCGCAGTTTGGGCACTCGGTCTCTAAAAGGTTCGCCATCACTGCACTAGCTGTTCTCAAAATCCCAGGAGTGCTCATAGGCTCAACAAGGCTGGGGCTCCCTGTCCTAAACCATGACTACTCTGAATTACCTCCAGTTTGTCCCTTATTCTGCCATTTAGAGCTGTATACCTGTTTAATTGAAACGAGACCCTGTAGCTTCCAGGGCCAGCCTGACAGAACCTAAGAAGTTGCTTTGGGCCGACAGTGTTTTTACTTCTTCGTGGTCTCTGCATCACAGCGATGGGCTCGGCACCTGCGCAGAGCTCGATTTTGGAGCTTCTGCAGCTACAGTATCGGGGCAAAAATCCCCTCCCCCACATAGTCTGAAAATCCCCTCCCCCCGCATGGACCATGATCACATGCAGTCCAGTGGGAGGGGCCTCACCATGACTATTCAGTGCCCCTCGGAAACAACCAAAAAATGGGCAATCTGGGAGTTGTGCCCCCAGCACCCTCTGCCATACTGCAATGTATATCGGTGCATGCCTTTTGGATTAAGCACTTAACGTTGTGAAACATCTTGGGCTGTCCTGTTCCTTTGGTATAATCCCTTCCCAGTTGGCGGCGCTACATTGTTTTTAGTTGGTACCAAGCCTGCATGCAGTCGTATGCAAAGTTCCTCCAGTCTAAACTCATTAATCTGGTCTTGGACTGGAATATCACTGCTTTAGGATTGCACTGTAAGTGTATTAGATCTTACATGACAGTGTTTTATACAAATAACCAATACTTACACAGAAGAATATGTGGATATGGAAAGGGTGTGTTTTATCTACTTGGATAGTGGTATTCTGCTAACTTGGTTTAATAGCAGTCATTATCTGTGTTACAATGAATGCTTCAATTATTTGACTTTTGTTAATTATAGATAGTGAGCATTATCATAATTTCCCCTGCCAGCTTATTTCAAAGCAGCTTTATTTTATAGCCTGCACTTGCCCCTGAAAATCAAATTCTTAGTGTTCAGAGGGGGGTGTCAAAAGCCGGGAGAAAGAGAAAGTGGGAGATAAGGGTGGACAGATCTCCCCTACCCCGTTTCACACCCGATCACCCTAGAGTTTTTTCTTTCTGTGTCTTGCTCCTAACTATTGCGCACTTGATGTTCCTACAGAGAATCAGCACAGCAAGTGGAGACGGAAGGCACTATTGCTATCCTCATTTCACATGTGCAGTGGATACAGAAAACATTCGGAGGGTTTTCAATGACTGTCGGGACATTATTCAACGGATGCACCTTCGCCAGTATGAGCTATTGTGATGGAGAGCACTTTTTCTCTTGTTTTTTGGACTCCTTACTCCTTATTAAAAAGAAAAAAAATACCCTTGCCCACATAGGGCGGAAGAGAACTGTTGCAATCTCCCTCTGATTTGCATCCCTCAAACCTTTCCTCCTTGCTGGACAAATAGCAGCCCTACTAAAGCTTGCTTCTTTTTGCCCCTTCGGAACAGTTTGAGACAGCCCTTGCAACGCCTAGGGGCCGCTTCCTGTGTGAGCAGGGGAGGGTTTCTCTAACACTGTCATTAACAAATAAATTAATTAAATAATAATGCCCTGGATGGATGGAGGAGCGTCTTGAAAGGATTTGGGGATTTAAAGTTAAAAGATTTCTCAAAGCAAAAAAAGAGAGAGAGAGAGAGAGAATACTACAGGAGGGAGAACTCTAAGTAATTAGCACTGTTGTGGGCGTAATCATATTATCCCGTGACTTTCAACTTTGTATCCATTCACCGCATCAGGAAAAAAAAGAAGAAGGTGCCAAGTCTCCGACCAAGATGAAAGGACAAGTCTCTCAAGTTTGGTTTTCTGCCTCTGAATGTGACTTTTGAGCAGAAAATACTGACAGTTCTAACAGCAGAAACCTCAACAGTGCAAAAGCAACTGCCACCTGCCAAAAGTTGTCGCGCGTGGAAGGTCCTCAAACGGACATTGCGGAATGATCTGCGTTTTAACGGCCTGTGATCGCAGAAAGAGTTTAACCACACACACACACACACACTGTTTTCAGTTTGTCCACTGATGATGCTGTCTACTATAAGAAAGCAAACAAACAAACAACAAGAAAAGTCATTATCAGGACTGTAGTCCTCACGACCTCCCCCCTTCTCTTCATTCCCCTCCTGACCCCCCTCCCCCGCCTCTTTCTTTCCCGATTTTTATTTTACTGCTGGATTATTATTCTTGTACAGACTGTAAAATGTATTATTTTGTACAACTTTATTGAAAAAAGAATAACTTGTAGAAGATCTTTGTGCCTTGATTATGGCTGTACCCGTGCAATGAGCTAAGATGTAAGTATGTTTGATTGCGCTGTACAGCTTTGTCAACCCCTATCAGCAGCATTCGCTCAAGGTAGGGAAAATTTATCTGTAGTTTAGGGGATTTTTTTGTTTTTTTGTTTTTGTTTTTTTTGTTTCATTTCTGGTTTATAAAAGGAGGAGGAAAAAATACTGTTTAGTTAAAAAAAAGTACAAATTGTGCAAACTTAAACCACTTTAAAAAGTGAGGTCTACAACAAGTGACCAGATGTTGCAGCATCCTGCTTTTTAATTTTTAGCTTTAACTCATTTAAATCTCTATCCAAATGCAAAACATGGCTTGTTTCTACATAAACCAAATTTTGCTACAAATTATAAATGTTAGTCTTTTGTCATTCATAGTTTTGTTTTCGGTTTTTTGCAAAAAAAAAAAAAAGGATAAATACAGAACAAAAAGCAAATAAATGCACAGGTGTTGGCACAGGCCTGGTAGCCAGATCTGTTTTGGGTCAGATACCTTCCCCACCCACTCTCTGCTATTTCTATAGGGGCATAAGAACCCCCCCCCCCATAATGACAAAGTGTGCATCGTCCCTGGATTTGGCCACTGAATTTCATTTTCAAGCGACATTTTATTTCTCTTTTAATAAAGAGATATGTTAGACATTTTTTTCCTTTGTTTTATATTAACTATATAAGTAGCTTAAAAGTGAAGACGTGTGGATTTTTTCTTAAACTTGAATAATTTATGCAAATTATATGCTTAGAACAACATGTGGTACAGTAAAAAAGGAAAAAACAGCAAAAATCACTGTAGCAATAAGAAAGCATGTAATTTACTAACTACTACACTGCTTTATATTTTATACTTAGGTGTTGTGTCTCTGTGAGCGTGTTAACTTTTTCATGTCTCGAAAACTACATGTACAAATTTGTACAAAGTCCTAAAATTACAGCTGTAATAACACATTTAGAACAGTGTTAGCCTATATTACTCAAGCCACCTCTTTGCTCCACCCTGAAAAACAAAACAAAAATCTGGATCTTAATACAGTGGGACTTTCTTTTTCATGTTAATAACCTAAGGATTCAATAGCATTAAAAGGGGGAAAGGTGCAGGTAGTTTTGCAGTTAAATCTCTACTAAGAAAATTAATTTTCCTGTCTACTTTCCAGGATGTGCCAAAAAATGGAATTGGAGGGGGTGGGGTGGCACATCTCTCTCTCTCTCGCTGCTAGAACAGGAACAATTGGATAGCCTTTTGGAAAACACAAGCATCTCAGCAGTGTCATCTATTTGATAGCAAGGGATCAGCACATACAGTCGAGGCCTGGTTTCTGTTCCTGTAGTGCCCACGGTCAATGAAAGACAAGCCACTAGAAATATTAAAGACCAGCTCACTGTCTCCAGTGTGGGACTTCAGCAAACCCTGACTGTGTGTGCAGTTCCCTCCCATTCTCCCTTAAGTTTCAACCTGTGCCTATGGTTAAACTGATTCAGATCGCTAAACAAAGCTATTTTAAGATACGTTTTAAGAACTTTAAAAGGGGTGGGGGGAGCATTTGGAATCAGTGGAGAAGCCTGACCCCGAAAATGTTGCCGATGAAAGACCTTCAGCCCTAGTGCCTGTTGTCGTAATTTCAGGAGGGAAAAGGCGCAAGGAACACACACCACACACAAGAGGTATAAAATGTGAGCCTTAAATTTTTGTTGAGAAAAAAGCCAAGATCGTTTAGTTTTTGTGCCAAATCTGAAAGAGGATGATGATGCAATAACCAAATTAAGAATCATAAAATCCAGTTTTGTCCACAAGGAATGTAACGTGTGATCTGAGAAACAAAAGTATCACCGCCTATAATAAGGACACCTTTCTTTGTTGAAGAGAATAAGCAAGCGTATGTAACAAAAGCGAGTGTGTGTGGTTGTATGTATGATGTGCGGGTGTGCATACGCAACACACGTGCACCCAGGTTTTTTTTTCTTTAAAAAAAATTCTATAAAGCTTTATACGAACGGAAATGTTTGAAATGCCTTTTTTTTTTTAATTGGGAGGCCACACATTGAAGCCAGTTTGGACTGCGCATGGATAAGAGTGCGTGTGTGCGTGTCTCGTCTCAGTATTGCCTTTAGTTTGTCTGTCTGTCTTCTGGATCACGCGATTTGGTGGCATGGTAAATGCAACTTTTACTTTTAACAGCTTTTCCCCCTCGTTGTTAAAATTTTAATGCTGACCCCCCACCCCCAATGAAAAAAAGTTCAGTGCTTGCTATTAAGTTCTGTGCTTTCCTCTGTCGCTAATTTAGTTGCCATGATTTCATAGTTAATTTGAACCATTCGAAGTCTAAATGCTCGTCTTTTCTTGGGACTTTATTTTTTTTCCATTTATTTATTTACTTGAATTTCCCATTCAGATAATTGTCTGGATTGAGAATTCCGAACTTGCGCCTGTTGCCCATTTTCAGGAACTTTTCAACAGCCAAGGACTCCCCATACCCCCTTCATCTGCTCAATATTCAAAACGCTGACATGTGCTGTACCCACAAATGTAAACAGTACTGCTACTACCAATAAAACAAAACCAGTATTTTAGGGAGCATATTTGCATCATCAGTATTGTTAAAGATGTGTCACTATTACCTGTCTTAACACCAGTTTCAAAGTCTACATTTCCCCCAAGTTAAATGTTAAAATATCATGTTCAGTTGTTCCTTTGGAAAAGGTTTCCAAGAGCTGGGAAAGAGGTTGGTTTGATGAGCTTTGCATCTCTGTGGATTTTCTTTCTCCAGTGGTTCTTCGTGGGACATTCCTCACGTCTGGGATATAAGCTCCTCCTCCCTCCTCAGGGTCGGCTCCAGCTTTGATCCAGGCGGGGAGGGGCTTATCTCCTTGGAGGCTGACCCAGTTTCTTGCCGGTCCTGCCTTTAGCAGGACGTGCTCTAGCTGCGCTGCATAGCACAGCTAGCAAGAAAGTGAAGGACGGAAAAAAGGAAAGAAGAAGATCGGGGCCGCAGCGTTTTTTAAGCGCAACAATTTGGGCGGCCTTAGAGAGGGTTCCAGTGGGGCAGTTAGCCTCGACGGTCCCTCTTTTTTTCTTTTTTAAGTTACTGGTTGAAGATTTTTTTTTGGCAAGTGTGTCACTGTAAACCATTTTGATTTAAAGCATAACTCTTGACATGCTAGCAACAGCTGGATCACTTTAAACAGTTTGAACAAACAATAAAGAATTGTAGAGATGTGTCAAGATGGGGTTAGCCCCATGTTACTCTGTCTGTAGCAGTAGACAAGAGCAAGAGTCCAGTAGCACCTTAAAGACTAGCCAGATTTGTGGCAGGGGAGGAGCTTTCCTGAGTCAATGCTCATTTCTTCACAGACCTTCTTCCTCCTTTCTACTATAGAGATGTGGTTTTCAAAACCAGTCTTTCTGCAGAGAAAGTAACATTTAAACCCAATTTTTTTTTTGTTGTTTTTAGTGAGTCTTAGGGCAAGCTGTGCATCCAAGAATAGGTGCCTCCAGACTGCAGGGATCCATTTCCCTGCTGTTGTGGAGGCTGGAATCTGTGGCACTGTACATCTCTCCAGGAATTTGCCAAGTGGGGGATGACAACCCTCGTTTAGGATTGCCCTGTTGGGAGTACAATCCTCTGCAGTTACCCCAGCCGAAGCCCACTGAAATCAATGCAGTTAGACTCAAGTAGCTCTGCAGAGGATCACTCTGCTGATCAGTTTTCAGGGCTGTAACACTGATTTTTTTATTTTAACACATGCTTTGTAGATTTGGGAAGTCGCTATGTCCAATTAGTACATTTCCTTGGCATCATGGAAACCCCTTCTGCGTGGTCCAGTGCCACACAATTCCAGAAGCCCTTTATCACTGTCGCTGCATGGTACACACATGAGATGGCCACAGTTTCTTGGTTTTGTTCACGAGCAGAAGACTGGGTGATGTAGAAGCAGCCCCTATACCATAAAGGTCATGTAAGAATCTGGCCTCATCTTGTGGGAAACGCTGCCACAGTCTCACATGCACCCTACATGATGATTCCCACTTTCAGGCTGTGTGTGTGTGTGTGTGTGCGTGCGTGCGTGTGTGTGTGTGAAGTCTCAGCAAGTGAGAAGCAGAGGTGGTTTGTACGTTTATTTGTTTACTACCTTTATTAGCGGCCTTTCTTCAAGGCAGCTTACAGCTTAGATAAAGCACACATTAAATAAAAAGCATTAAAAACAAAACAAAAAAAGATTTAAGTATTTTTATTTATTTAAAACATTATAAAGTTAATGTAACATAAACTGGGGATTTGAACATCAGGGAAATCACTATTAAAAAAACATGTGCATGCCTCTTTTTTATTTAATTATCATTTAAAATAAGCCAACTGATGAATTACATGAATGATTGCCTTAAAATCATATTGCGAAACTGCATATAAACAAGTTAATTAAATAAGTGCAATTATAATAATAATACTATAGACACATTCTTTGGACAGCAGATTCATCATTCATGGGTATGATCAAATACAGTGCTCCGCAAAGGGCTGTGGGGATGTTTGAAAAAAGTGAATCTCGAGAGAAGTGCGATGCCTCCAGATGGCATAGAGAAGACTTAAGACCATATTTGGACTGAAAGAGGGAATCTTAAGGTGAGCTTTTCCTTATGAAACTGGGTAGGGTCACTCAGTAGCTCTGTCTAATGCACACTGTGTGAAATTTGGAGATAAACTGCTCAGGCTACGGCCGCATCCAGACGGTTCTGTGGTGCTTAGAGAAGCTCCATGGATAGTTAAAGTTTCTGTCGTGCTTTCTTTGTCACCCCTTGCATGTATACTTTAGATCGTTTGGTGATTTGTCCATGCGTTTCCAACATAGGTACAGGGTCATTTCTCAAGCACTCTGAGCTCATTGCACACAACATATAACAGTGATCTCTCAAGGTTTGGTGATCTTCAGTCGCACAGTCGAGTCCGACTCTTCGCAACCCAATGGAACACATCATGCCAGGCCCTCCTGTCCTCTGTCATCCTCTGGAGTTTGCTCAACTTCATGTTCGTTGCATCGATAACACTGTCTAACCATCTCATCCTTTGCCGTCCCCTTCTTCTTTGACCTTCAGTCTTTCCCAGCATCAGGGTCTTCTCCAGTGAGTGCTCCCATCTTCGACGTGGTCTCTGTGCTTCACACCCATGGGATCTAGTGCGCACGCGCTGGATCGATCGGTGCTGTAGCAAGCTCTTTTAATGGATTTTTGTGCCCAGTCCTTCGGGCATGCGCAGGAACTCCACCGTGCATGCCCAGAGGGGTGGGCGCGGACATCCCACCAGTTCCTTTCTTACCTCCGCGTTGAGTAGACCTCTTCTTCGTCGGTCTGATCAGTTCGCTGTTAGCTCACCTCACAGCTCTTAGGAATTATTTCCAAACTTCTCTTACTTTATTTTTTGT